AATTTTAATGGAATTGCAGGTTTGTTTGCTTAATGTAGCATTAATTATCTGTGTTATATAGGTTGAATGGAAATTGTTGGCAGAGATTTTTATATATTTTAAATTTTTTTATGGAATAGTTTGTTTTTTATTTTTATTTTTATTTTGGATTATTATATGAAGTAAAAGAAAGAAGTCGAATTGTATTAAAGTTTTTTTTGTGTATGATTTACATATACGCAGTTCAAACAAATTTGCGCTCATCTGAGAATATGTTTTTAATAAATGAAATGTTTCACAATTTCATCAGCTATAGAAATGGTATCAGTTAGACCTTTTTCTGTCATTTTTCACAGAAATATTTAGCTGTTTATTTTTAATGATTGTAAAGATAGTGTTAAATCATTCAGTGAATTTTATGTGATGTGTGAATTTTTCTTCCAAATAATGCTTTGTGCATTCCGTTGAAAATTCATTAAGCAGTATTCTTTGTAGCGGAAATCATTCATTTTCCATTACTACTCGATCTTTATTCCAACTCCTTTCCTTTCCACGACAACCATGTAATAATATCATTATTTTTACTGATGTCCAATATAATTTTGAATATATTTTTGTGATGTTTATCATCCATCAATAGTTTCATTATTTGTAAAAAAAAATGTTGAATTAAATTCAACTGGTGATAGAATGATGGATAGTGATAAGAGTATCCGAGATATCGTATATATATACACGATTGTAAATAGTTATGGTTTCCATAATTTTAAAATTTTAAATTAATCATTTTTAAACTTACAGAAGTTTGTTTAATATTGCAATAATCTTAATGAATTATTTTTACACTGATAACATGGCAAAGTTTTTTTTATTTTATGCGGAATGGCGGCATTTTTGTTTGTTTGAAGTTATCTTTAATTGATCTTTTAAAGTAATTTATAGTTGGTAGAATGCTTGAGCAAGGAGTAAAAGTATGTAGCAGTGGTAATAAACCGATTGGTATGGGATCAACGAATGTGTACTCAAAAATTGCTGAAGTAGTCGCTACTGATGCTGTAAGTATTTCTTTAAGAAGTTAATATAATTCTATTTTGGAAGAAAAGAGGAGAGTGCTTTCTCTGAGGATTTTCGTTATAATAGCTTCATTTTAAGTTCATTGATTTTCTTGTTTAATTTTCAATTCTATTTATTTTATTTGAATTCCTGAATAAAATTCGAATTGTGATAGTGTAGTGGTGTGAAGAGTAAATTCTTATGCAAATGTCAAGGCTAATTTATTTTGGCCAATAAAATCTGGTTTCAAAATCTTTAGCAGTATATAGTTTCCGATTGCTTTGTATTTTCCATCTTATCACGTGGACGAGAATTTTCCATTAAAATTTGGGAAAGTTTTTGATTGATAAAGGCAGCACATGCATTTGCGGATTAGATCAGCTGCATCGCTTTTGCTTTTGCATTTTCATTTCAGCGAACATTTTTTCTTTTTTTGTATACTTTTTCAAAATATAATTTCTAATGATCGGTTTTCCAAACAGCAGTTTGATGCAATATTCTCAAATGCTGAATTGTTTTATGTAATACATCCCAAGTCTCAATTTAGAAATATTTTCTTTAACAGATAGCAATGTTTATTTGTTTCTGCCATAGATATTCACTGCTGAAATTTTGACTAAACTATTTAGTAAGCTAATAATGCTTGTCGAATTTATTGGTATTATAGTAAGTATATGGAGTTGTTTAAAAGGTTTCACTGATTACAAATTTTCGGTTTAATGTTTTGAATCTTGGCTGCCTGTTTCTCAGTGACATTCGATGACTATAAACTTTTTGAAATCAAGAAGGAAAGAAAAAGGAGTTCAAATGGAACTGTACATTGTAGATGAGGGAGGAGACTAATGAAAAGGGTTCATTTCATTACATTCTTTGATTAGGTATTTCTGAAGAAGTTTTAGTTTGCATATTAAATATGGGTTATGGGGCTTTGACAAGTTCAATTTTTATTTTCATTATTCTGGGAATTCTTTTGAAAACAAAGATTTCAATTTTTGAAAATTGTAGCGAAGTCTTTTTTGTGATTAATTTTTTTTAGCAACAATGATATTTAAGAAGGAATGCTTTAGGTTAATACTAAAGGCGGAACGGTTTTAGAACCGTAAATTATGAATAAAATCAGGCATTAAATGAAATAAAAATGATGACAATTAATGCATTTTGCCAATAAGAAACGAATTTATTATTCTGTAAAAATTTATCTTTCGAGATCCAGTATGACTATTTTCTATATTTTTGTTAAATAATTCTTGCTAAATATTTTCAACATTTTGCTGATCGTTGAAGCATTTTCATAATATTAAAAATTACAGTAGTTTTGAATCTACTTAATATGATTTCTCAAATTTTTCTCTCCTTAGTAAATCTATAAAGTGTAAGTTCAGTAAGCTATAAAAGTTTTTCAGACTAGCGTCATTTTTTCGGCTGCACAGGACTTGTAACAATGCCAATATTCAGAATAATTATCTTTAAATAAATCAACAGCTCAAAAAGCGATTTTTAAGGCGTACTCGTAATATTATTCGAACATTCTCCACTTTTCCATCGAAGAGATTGCAATTAGAGCATCAAGCAAATAGATCATATCACGTTCATATCATGAAGATCTCTTATCACCACGGTAGATATTTTTATAAAGAGCCAGTTGACACGTCCTATTGGTTCAAATTTAAGCTTAAAGAAAGAAATCTGTACTCTGCAGCTAAATCATATTTGCTCACAAAGATTACTCAAAATAGACACTTTATCATGTAATGCCTGTTTTGAGCTATCTTTGTATGCAGCACATGATGTAGAATTCACTTAGCATTCTTAGAAAACATTAGTTTTGTTTTAGCTTTATAGATTGAATGAATTAAGTGTACAGAATATTCGTGAATTCTAACTTTCTATCAGCTACAATTATTTGCAGACATCTTTTAATGGTACATCGAAAAATGTTTCGAACATTGAACGGATGTCACCAGCTAGTGTCGATTCTGGTTTCGATTCATCATTTCCATCTTCACCAGATTGTTCACTGGATTCATCAGTTGTTGGAGCGGAAATGACGAAATGTTGCAGAGATCCGAATTTCAAACGACGACATCAAACAGCTACAGCTTTGACAGGTGCACCTTTATAGTATTGTAGTGTTGCTAATGTTGATGGTATATCATTCTTATTTGTTTAGTCGAGCACAGATGAAATACCGCATTCGTTCGTCATGATTTAGGCATTACCTGTCCAGAAATTTCATGCAAGTTAATGAGGAATTCCGTTGCATAATTTTGAATGAATGAATAGTATAGTAGTAGCAGTAATGAAA